ATACAGGGTGGCCCATAAATCCCCCGAAAACCTTTATTTTTTATTGAATATTAAAATTCAAACTAGATAAAAAAAAACTATAACAATTATATTGAGGAACAAACCTCAAGACATCTACTGATCGATTGCCCAGCATTTCAAGAATATAGAATGAACTAGTTGTTTGTGAACTTAACGATTTGATTTCCGATAAAAAATCATATTTAAAGTTCAATTCATTTTGTAAATACATTCTAAACTTTCTACAAAATCTGGATCTCTATTGTTTTCATGTGTTGAATAATGTCAATAACTTATGTAAATAAACTTTTCTCCTTGTTTGGCGCAAGTATCCCTTGCGGGATATAGCGCTTTGGAAATAAAATAATTGTAATAATTAATAAGTAATATATTAAGCTTTAATCTCTATTATTAAGCTTTAAGCTCTATCGTCTAAACTTACGTCTAGCTCTAGAGTTTGAGCTCACGTCTAGATCTGGAATCTATTATCTAAACTAGATTATCATAAAGATAGAGGTTGCTTGACTGGCATTCATAGTTCTTAAAATAAAAGACACTTCGGCCAGTATATCTTTTTATTACCTCGACGTTTCGACAAGAATATTTTGTACTCGTCAGGAGCGAACAAAAATTAAAGCATTTGACAAAGAGTTATAAATTATTCTAAGACTGCAAAGGCGCCCTTGCCAAAACTTTGTCAAATGTTTTAATTTTTGCTCGTTCCTGACGAGGACAAAAGATTTTTTCGAAACGTCGAGACAATAAAAAGATTTACTGGCCGAAGTGTCTTTTATTTGAAGAACTAAAATAAATTATTTATAGTTTTTATTCTTGTGTGTTTGCCTTTTAATTTTTAATTGAAAAATAAATGTTTTCGGTATTTATTAGCCATACAGTATATAACATCAGAAATCATTGCATTCGTTTCAAAAATAATATACGTATATAATGAACTCAAATATATATTATAATTCAAATAACAAGTCGGTGGACGAGTAGGTAACACCCTCGATTCCCGACACCCATGAACCGGGATTGAATCCTGTGTTAACATTTTGTTTAATATGTGAATAACCTTCATATATTATCTACTGTTTCAATTTTCATAAACTAGGTTGCTCTTGCTGAGCGGTACCTATTAATGTGATTTTCAACCAGATATTACAATTCATATTTCGAATTAGAAATTAGCAAAATAAAACGACGATTGAAGAGGAGTGTCTTATACAAACTTTATTAGCAAGTTTTCAGACGTCCTTCTACAGGCTTTACGATAAGTAAACAGAAAGAAGAACGAGATGAGTATTAATAGGATAAGATATTTTTGCATACAAGAAAAATATAGCATTTATGAAAATAAATGAAAGAGAAAAGTGAAAACATAAATTTTGTATATACGGAATTAAATATGCAAAATATGTGCCAAGGACGTTATATTTATGAAATTATGTCATTTTTACTATTGTAACTTCAATCGGATAAAGATAATTAAAAATAAACACTGAGGATGAACCTATAAATAAGAATTAGAAATTGTTTCTATATATAAAAGTAGATGTGAAATGCCAGTGGTGATTTGGCTATACTGAATAATATCTGTTCAAAAATGCTTCCTTGTATCAATATTGAGTAAAAATATATCAGGCCTCTAGGGAAATTATCTTTTCAAAAACATATTTATACTCTAGCTTTCGGAAAAGAACGCCCTTCTACAGGAGAAAACATGATATATTATGAAAAAGGCATCTCCTTATGATGCAACTGAAAGTTGCTGATGTCTTGCGCCATCTATAGGAATAAATATCAACTATTCTCGTTGATTTTTAATTATTCCAATTAGTCACATTGTGTCGCAATCTCACGCAATTCTGGCCTCAACTACCTGTTTCAAGATTTTTCAGGATGCCTGAATGACCACTTTTTTAGTCGTTGAGGTACAGCTTGCACCACGCTGATGAGGGCCAACAGCCCGAAACGCGTCTGTGGTTAGCTTTCCTTGATTAATCAAGAATGGGTATTTGGCCAATTCTAGAATAATTTAAAATCAACGAGAATAGTTGATATTTATTCCGATAGATGGCGCAAGCCATCAGCAACTTTTAGTTACACGATAAGGAGATGCCTTTTTCATGATTTGTGGACCTTATCCAAGTACAATATCACATTTGTACTATTTTTTCACATGGTATATTATGTTATACCATGTTTTCTTCTGTAGAAGGGCGTCCGTTCCCGAAAGCTAGAGAGTAAATATGTTTTTGAAAATATATTTTTTCCCTGGAGGCCTGATATATTTTTACTCAATAATATCTATGATAATTTAAATTCTTGTAGATGGAAAATTTGCCGGGAGGAAATTGATCCATAGAAGCATAGGGCGCCTCTCCCGTCAAAATAAACTTCTAAAACCTGACGCCATGTTGTGGCTCTGTCACCGAACAGAGGCCACTAGTTGCGACGACGGTCAATAGGCGGCGTCAGGTTTTTGACGTTTATTTTGACGGGAGAGGCGCCCAATGCTTCTATGGGTTAAATTCTTGTAGTAGTTACTTTCTGAAAATGTTCTTTTTTTATGATTCGTTCAGAATTTCTGTGATGAAGTCTTTTTTACAAAAGAGAAAGGCTATCATGCCCGAAAAAGCTATAGATTTGAGATAAAAAAATTATATTAAAAAAAACTATCCTTGAAAAAATAGTACATAGTGATATTGTACTGGGATAAGGTGCATAAATTAAAAAAAAAGGCATCTCCTTATCGTGCAATTGAAAGTTGCTGATGGCTTGCGCCCTTTATCGGAATAAATATCAACTATTCTCGTTGATTTTTAATTATTCCAGAATTGGCCAAATACCCATTCTTGATTGACCCATCTCAAGAGGAATGGGTATTTGGCCAATTCTGGAATAATTAAAAATCAACGAGAATAGTTGATATTTATTCCGATAGATAGCGCAAGCCATCAGCAACTTTCAGTTGCACGATAAGGAGATGCCTTTTTCTTAATTTATCCTTGAAAGCTTGATGTTTTCATCTTAAGAACAATTTTATATTTCCAATGTTGTTTTCCCCTCTCACTCAATGTCGCAATAGGGTTAAACTGTGTGCGTATTTCCCAAGGACATATGGTGGGTTCTACAATTGCTTAATGCTGATGATGAGAAAGGCTGGAAAGATTTAGCAGATGCGTGGGAAACCTTCAAGTTTATTCAGCCAATTTAGTCGATTCATTCTTATTTATTCATTTTTGATGACGGTGATTTTGAAATTAGGAAGATAGTCTTTCATAATACATAATCAAATTGCCTTTACAATTTAACAGAATCAACAAGAAACCAGGGCCAAGTTTCATTAACTATTTTTTATATAATTGATTGTAAAACGACATTTGAAAATTATATCGCAAGTGTTTCTTTTCAACGAAAAATCAAAATTTATTTTTTTTTTAAAGGAGAAATAACGATTATTTCTAACCTTAGGAATGAGGTATGAAAGGATGAATTGTGAAGAGTAATGATAAACGGAAAAATAAAAGTGTCCAGGGATGGGAATCGAACCCACAGTGTTCCGCTTACCGGGCAGATGCCATGTCCACTAGGCTACCCTGGACATATTTTTCCGTACAATTGATTGTAGTTTTATTTTATCTGACATATCGGACGCGATATCCCAGCTTGGGATACTTGCGCCTAAATACATTTTAGCAACTTATATACAATTCATTTTATACAACTCAATAACAGGAATAAAAAAAAATTAAAACTGAAACGACGGTATTCTAAAACAGTAAAGAAAATCTGTTGTTTTTGTTGATGATTGACAGACTTCTTTCTTAAATGTATTATTTATTATACATACAATACAATAAGAAAACACAATAAATACAAAAGATAATAGAGAGAAAATAGAGGTAACCCGGGCTCCTGGAGCGTAGATCGCCAACTACCCGGAAAAAAAAAAGTGGAGATGCGGGGGATTGAACCCCGGGCCTTTCACATGCAAAGCGAACGCTCTACCACTGAGCTACATCCCCATTGATAAAAGTGGCTATATATTTTCTATTCAAGTTTTTGTTCGTAATTTTTTAACAACAACAACTTTTTATTAGGTTATCATCATATCCAATCTCACAGAATATAAATATATATATATATATATTTATAAAATTAAATATTCCAACAAAATCTAAATTGAATTTTACATAAGTGTCTTTGTTATATACAAATTCACAAATTTCTTCGATGGGATAAAAATGATTACTTCTGTAGTATACTCCTTTTTTCCTTTTATCTTGCCCGGGCCAGACGGGGACGGCGTGCTCTCGCATTACACACTCTCCCTAAAGAGACTCCACCCGGACAACAGCGGGGCTCCAGTCTTCCTCGTTATACCTAGCGACCTCCCAACGCTCCAACGATGTCACACGTAGGTTACACGTAGTATACAAAAGTATTGTAGTATATATAGTATACACTTGTAGTTAAAGATATCTGGTCCTGGATTGCTTGTTGATTCTGTTAAAAAGCCTTTCGGAATTGTAGAAATTTATTTAGGAAAATCATGGCATGACACACACATAATCAAATTGATCTTTCTGAAGACGATTTATTTTGTCTGGCATTTCATTTGCTGAATTATATAGTTTTACCAGAATTATATGAATATATATATTATGAAAAAAAGATGAGATTTTATGCTTGATATTTTGATTGTCTTGAGGATTATGCTATGGTAATGAAGTCGTGGTAAAAATCTTGAAAGTATAATAAATAAATATGTTTGATCAGAGATTGCTTTAATTGAGCTAAAGAATTATATTTAAAAAAACATAATTTGATAAAAGTATTGCTTGATTTAGAGCGTAAGAATAAAGAAAATAAAAAAAAACTTATTTACATAATTTACAGAAGGTTTGAGCCGGCCATCGGGAAAAAACAACAATAGGCTATTTAGGGAAAGTAGCGACGTCTGGTGGTAGACTTAATAGAATATTTGAATCTATGAAATATATAGCTCAGTCAGTAGAGCGTTAGGCTTTTAACCTAACTGTTCAGGGTTCGAGCCCCTGTCCTGGCCATCTTTTTCTGGGGCTCAAAAATGATCCATTCTGGTTAGCAGCCCCTGTAAATAAAGATATTCCCTATGAAATATTTTAAATAAAATAATATTTTTATATAACATATAATATATATATATAAATTATATACTTGTAGTTAAAGAGATATAGTCCTGGATTGCTTTTTTATTTCGCTAAAAGATATTTTAAAATTGTATAAATTTATTTAGGAAAATCATGGCACGACACACACATAACCAAGTTGATCCTACTGAAGACGATTTATTTTGTCTGGCATTTCATTTGCTGAATATTATATAGTTTTACCAGATTTATTTTAATATATATACAGTTAAACTTGTCTATAGCGCCCCCTCTAAATAGCGCCCGATTTTAAATACGTAGTACGATGCGATTTACATTAAAAGTGACCTGTCTATAGCACCCTATTTTGGTGAGTCCCATGAGGGGGCGCTATAGACTGGTGTAATTGTATATATATATATATATATATATATATATATATATATATATATTCAAAAGGTAAATAAGTTGGGAATATTTTGAGCGATTAAGTGAGAGTACTAATCAATGAAATATTGATAACTATTCATTTTTATCTTATTAAATTCATATTGTTATCTATTATCTAGGTTTACATGCAAAATTTAGCACCTAAAATATATTTGTGAGAATTAATATTAAGTGAGAGGCTAACACAGAAATGTATTTCAGCAACCCCAGGAAGCTCCCAAGCCCTTCAATACTGCTTACAGCATAGATGATGGTTCTAACAACCGCATCCACCACAACGAAGAGTCTGATGCCGATGGAAACAAGAAGGGCTCCTTCGGCTACATCAACGAGGATGGTCTCTACCGTACCGTGAACTACATCGCTGATGATCAGGGATTCCGCGCTCAAATCATATCCAACGAGCCAGGTCTTGGTGCTGAGGGAGCTGCTGGTGTTGACGTGAAAGTCAATTCAATTCCAGATTCTGTCCAGGCACAGATGAATGCTCAGCGTGCACCCAACCAACATCAGCACATGAAGGAGATTCAACAAGCGCCCATTCAGTACCAGCATATGATGGAGTCTCAGCATGCACCCATTCAGCACCAGCAGATGATGGAGGCTCAGCGTGCACCCATTCAACACCAGCACATGAAGGAGATTCAACAAGCGCCCATTCAGCACCAGCACATGATGGAGGCTCAGCGTGCACACAACCAACACCAGCACATGATGGAGGCTCAGCGTGCACCCATTCAACACCAGCAAATGAGTGAGGCTCAGCGTGCACCCATTCAGCACCAGCAGATGAAGGAGATTCAACAAGCGCCCATTCAGAACCAGCACATGATGGAGGCTCAGCGTGCACACAACCAACACCAGCACATGATGGAGGCTCAGCATGCACCCATTCAACACCAGCAAATGAATGAGGCTCAGCGCGCACCCATTCAGCATCAGCAGATGAAAGAGATTCAACAAGCGCCCATTCAGCACCAGCACATGATGGAGGCTCAGCGTGCACACAACCAACACCAGCACATGTTAGAGGCTCAGCGTGCATCCAACCAACACCAGCACATGATGGAGGCTCAGCCTGCACCCATTCAGCACCAGCAGATGATGGAGGCTCAGCGTGCACCCATTCAGAACCAGCAGATGATGGAGGCTCAGCGTGCACCCATTCAGAACCAGCCAAATATGGAAGCGGCCTATTCCCCTTCCAGACAGCCAATGATGCCCCAAGGCCACATTCGTGCTGCCATTTCAAGACCACAAATGGAAATGCCCCGTCCTCCAATCAGACAAAACAGCATGCATCAAGCTCCTATTAGACAGGTTCCAAATGCTCGCGCACCAGCGATTCAAGCCTACGGCCAGAGGTTGAATGCCCCGGCCCTTCAGCCTCAAATGAATCGTGCCCCAGCGCACCAGCCTATGATGCAAATCCCCCAAGCTGCTGCTCAAATGATGCCAATGCCTCGCTCCATGTCACTTCCAAATCGTTCAGCTCACAGCTCTCAGCAGTTGAATTTACCAGTTGGTGCCAAAGCTCATAGTACAGGTGTCTACTGAGTCCTTCCTGGTACCATACACATGTGTATATTTACTCATATTGAGAAAATCTATCAAATTGTAATAGAATCATCTATGTATAAAACATAAATATATATAAGATATATAATAAATTAATTTATAAAGAATCTGTTCCAATTATTTTATAAATTCCAATATTACAGAATGGGACCAAAATTCACCGTCAATCATTTTAGGAAGAGTTTCTACATATGGCAAAAGGTTAAATTGGTTTTATTGTTAAAACCTGTTTTATCGCTAGTGTTCAAAGTGTAAAAATGGTTTTCCATACAGCCAATAGGGAATTTTAAAGTAAGACTGACAAAGCGTGTCTCGCAAGAATAACAGTATCAAAGAATAGTTATCATAAAATTGCCTTTTATCCCTTGAAATTAAGTGTATGCACCTCTCTACAGACCTATAAGCTTATGTCAACATCCGATGCGAAGAAACTCCTAAGCTGTATTTCTTAGTAAATACAGGCTATATAAGAAAACCAATCTAATACAATAGTAGAGCGTTCTGGAGATTAATTTGGCGAAACCGCTGAGAGGGTTCATCACTGATCATACAAACCTCATTCAATAGCTTTTATCATTGCAGTAAGGTCAGTAGAGATAATATTTGATGATATTTTTTTAAAATAGAGCAATCCATATTTAATTCATAAGATAATAAAAAGGCATATATTGGATTTAATAAAATATTTATTTGTCAATATTTCGGTTAGCTTAACGCCAACCTTTATCAAAGCAAGTTTGTGTATACAAAAATGTATTGCCTTGATAAAGGTTTGACGTTCAGTCAACCGAAATATTGGCAAAATAAATAATTTATTAAATCCAATATATAAAATGAAAGGATTTAAAAGCACGAAAGTTTCCTTTATACATAATACACACTTCTACTGCCCTTACTGCAATGAAAAAATATATTGGGAGGGCTAGGCTCATCAGTGGTGAACCCTCCCAGCGGTTTCGCCAATTTAATCCACCAGACCGCTTCTCAGAGCTCTAATACTGTATTGGACGATTCTGCTTATATACGCAGCACAGAAGGATGAAATCTTAGAAATGGTTTTCAAGAGAACTATGGACAAAAGCTTATAGGACAGTAGAATTACATTCAAATATTTGCATCGAGCAATGCTCTTCCGCAAACAATAAATACAAGGCCAGTTAGGCATAAATTAATACAAAGCGATAACGCGCCATCTGTACATATAAAATGAAAGGATTTAAAAGCACGAAAGTTTCCTTTATACATAATACACACTTCTACTGCCCTTACTGCAATGAAAAAATATATTGGAATGTAATTCTACTGTCCTATAAGCTTTTGTCCATAGTTCTCTTGAAAACCATTTCTAAGATTTCATCCTTCTGTGCTGCGTATATAAGCAGAATCGTCCAATACAGTATTAGAGCTCTGAGAAGCGGTCTGGTGGATTAAATTGGCGAAACCGCTGGGAGGGTTCACCACTGATGAGCCAAGCCCTCCCAATATATTTTTTCATTGCAGTAAGGGCAGTAGAAGTGTGTATTATGTATAAAGGAAACTTTCGTGCTTTTAAATCCTTTCATTTTATATGTACAGATGGCGCGTTATCGCTTTGTATTAAATCCAATATATGCCTTTTTATTATCTGATTTATTGATATATGTAAAAAAAAGCAATTTGTCAGAAGCATAGTTATGAAGATCATTTGCTGGTTGGAAGTTGATTCAGAGAAAAACAGACACATTAACTAATAGTTTATTTCAACTCCCAACATTTCAGTGACTTCCTGTCATTCTCTTCAGGGGAATGGTTACTTTGAATCTTAGTTCTACTTATATATATACACCTTTTTCTGAAATACATGTAAAAGATACGTGACTCTTTGCATAATATTTCAGAAAATTCTGTATGTTTTATGTGTTACTAGACGGGTGACCCGGGCTTCGCCCCGGGATTGACCCGTGTGAATATCTACCCGAGTGATATATATTTAGATAAGATTTTTTAATAATTGTTTGTTATTAGCATTATCTATTTGTTTGCATCAGCATAATTTAATCGAATCCTTGATAGAGGGCGCTGTTCGTGAGCTAAGTAGAATAATTTGAATATATCGTTTTAATAATTGATTTATATATTTTTTAAAATAGCCTATCGTCTTCCCCGTATTTTTTACCTATGTATGGAAATTTTGGTTTGAATTAGTGAACTACTGCGAATTTGTATACCGGACATACAAACAAACAAACATACAAACATTCATTTTTATATATATAGAAGATGTGTTATGTGTGCATGTGTTATGTGTATTATGTTATTTGTATATGTATATAAGTAGAACTAAGATTCAAAGTAACCATTCCCCTGAAGAGAATGACAGGAAGTCACTGAAACGTTGGGATTCTATATACACTATTGGTTGATGTGGCTCGGTTTTCAGGAACAAATTGTTATGATTATGAAAAAGGCATCTCCTTTCTATAGCACCCTATTTTGGTGAGTCCCAAGAAGGGGCACTATGGAGAGGTTTAACTGTATATATAAATTATTTCTAGTTTTAAATAGAATGAAAGTTATTTAAATTTACATTTTGGAGCAAAATTTTATAAGAAATTATTTTATTTGTACACATATTATCAGAAATTTTAAATATATTGTTAGAATTGTAGCCACTAAATTAATGTTATAAATATAGAATATAGAAAATAAGGCTTGGTCTTAGAATATTTTTTATCAAGAACATTTCAAAAGTTATAAAAAAAGGCATCTCCTTATCGCGCAACTGAAAGTTGCTGATGGCTTGCGCCATCTATCGGAATTAATATCAACTATTCTCGTTGATTTTAATTATTCCAGATTGATTAATCAAGAATGGGTATTTGGACAATTATGGAATAATTAAAAATCAACGAGAATAGTGGATATTTATTCCGATAGAT